AACGATGTTCTGTACTCTCCTTCTAGGTGGTTCTCACCCACAGCCACCATGCACTGATAAACATTCCATTCTCTGCTCTCTTCCCACACCTGACGGTGCTGCAGAGCACCCCAATGGTGCCGTGTCCCTGCCAAAAACCTCCCAGTGCACCCCATGGACACAGAACCTGCCCACAAGGAGACCACACAGCTTCCTCTCCCACACCCCAGCCCCTACACCTCAGTAACACTGGGGCATTAGGAGCTCCCGTTATTTACGCTCATTATTTCCTAAACCTTATACTCTTCCCCCTCCCCCTTTCACCCAGCCTCCCCTCAACCTGGACTGATCCCCTCACATCTCAGTGAAGCCATCACTTCCCCCAGCTCACCCTCCCAGACCCCCGACTGCACCCCCACCAAGAGTGGATTGGGAGCTACTTCCAAAGCACACAGTGCTTATTCCTGTGGTGTGCTTTCCATGGCAGATGCTTGCCTACACCATCCACCCACCGCTCCCAGCCCTCCACCACCACCCCAAACAAGCTGTTTCTATCTCTCCCCAAGGATAGTATTATAGGAGCCTCAGTATCTGGTACTGGTCCCTAAAACCACAGAAACAAAGGCAAACAACTCTGACTATAGTTAACATTGAAATAAGTGTTTTAAGTTATTTTTTAAACTTTGCAACAAGCAATTCTGAGCACTGGCCCAATGATAATACTACATTTTTGAGTCCCCACCATGTATCTGACAACCATGTTAAATATTAAAAGATATTACTGCTAGGCTTGCTATGCCTCTAACCAGGGAGGTAAATCTACGCTCATTTTTACTTTTTTAAAAGAGTTTATTTATTTACTTATTTATTTTACAGTGAGAGCAAGAGAGCGAGTGGGGGGGGGGCGGGGAGAGAATCTCAAGCAGACTCGAAGCTGCACGCAGAGTCCGACACAGGGCTGGATCCCAGGACCCTGAGATCATGAGCTGAACTGAAATCAAGAGCCGGACACTCAACCGACTGAGCCACCCAGGCGCCCCAGTCTACCCTCATTTTAGAGAGAAAAACACTGAGGCCAGGTGGTCTGAGTCACCCGCCCAAGGTCATGGGGCCAGGGGTTGATGATACTTCCGCTCGAACGCCGCAGACTCCAAAGCCTGCACGCCTCCCTGCGTGCTGGCGGCTCTGAGAGTGGGGCTGGGGCTCTCGGGTCTGTGAGAGGTAACCGGCCTCTCACTCTCATTCTCTCTCAACAAACGTAAGTGGACTTTTGCAGAGGCTCATAACTTGCATGCAGACTCTACGCAGTGGCAGATGTGAGAATCCAACATTTGAGAAAATGTGAAACAATGTCTTTAATTTTTTTTTTTGTTTTGGAAAACAGTTATTTTTCATTTAAAAATGTCACTGATGTTAACACATAATGCCTTATTATTTTTAAAGTTTATTTATCTGTTTTTAAGTAATCTCTACATCCCATGTGGGACTTGAACTCACAACCCTGAAATCAAGAGTCACACACTCTTCCTACTAAGCTGCCCCAGTTTATAATTTTTAAATTATCAACAAATAAATAAGGTTCTAAGACAATAAATATCAACACATATAACCCACGTACACGAAAGATCTTTGGAGTCCTCAATTTTTAAGCATGTAAATGGGTCTGAAATGAAAAGGTTCAGGAACTGATATCCTCCCTTATCATCCACTAAAAAGAAATATATGCTAGGTTTTTTTCTTCCCCTGTAAACTTTATCAAATGATCAGGACAGTCTGGAGCTAGCACCAAAGAATGTGTCCAAACTCCACAATGAACATCATGGCCCAATGAACTCTGGCTTTTCTAACATTTTCCTTGGCTGACTCTTCAACAATAAACTTAAACTTATCTTTAAAGATACTTCTGTGTGTCATATAACTTAGAAAACATCTGTTCAGAGCCCACGAGACATTTAAAAAGCATAACTTACATTTTTAAAAAGTGAAAAAATCAAGATAAAAAAGCCAACAGGCCTATCTAAATGCGATAATTCAGCAAATCACGTCAATATTTCAACCTGATCTGGCGGTTTCCCTGCTACACAGCATGGTTTTGAACCACCATTCTATCATATATGAAATGCAAAATAATTTTAGTAGTTTTAAAGCAAAACATAATTAGATAGATATACTTGCTAGAGTAGAACGTGAGTCATTCACAGGGGGAGAGGGAGGTTTTTAGGATTATGTGATAGCATTTTGAATTACCCACATCATTATCCTCATCACACCTGTGAATATGGGCTAAAGGAGGGGAAATATTTGCACAAATCAAACTTAATTAAATTCAGTTTCATAACTAAGGCTATATTTAATCATATTTAACCTGTTCCTTAAAAATAAAAGTAGTTTTACATTGTGTTTACATGTAAGATGACATAATTATGAAGGTCTGTACTGGAGGAGACCAGAACTACAGCCTGGAGGAGAATAAACATGAGTACACACCACCAGCTGGCAACATACTAGGCACCTGGTATATACTAATTTCAGCACCCTTTGTGATAGGTACTCTCTCTCCTATTTTACTGATGAAGAATCTGAGGTTCAGAGAGGTTAACTTGTCTGAGATCAGCAAGCTAATAAGAAGCAGAGCTGAAATTCGAACACTTTTCTGACTATAAGAGTCAGAATCTCTTCATAAGATTTTGCACCTCCCTAGTATTATTTTCAGAACTGAGTACTTCAAAATCTGAAGAGGATGCAAAGTTAAGCAGAAATAAGAAGGCAAATACCACAAACAAAAAATTTTTAAGGGCAACTGAACTTAAATAAAAATCCCTCAAAAGTACTTGTTCACATACATCCCTAAAACAGTTCCGAGTTTGTCTATAATGGCGTACTCAAGAACGTGGCGCTGGAGAGAAAGGGAACTACACCTCGTGTCCCCCAGAGTCTAGCACATACGAAACCCTCCAGTGTCAAGTGACTCGAACGCCACGTACTCCCATCCGTCCTCTGAAGTGGCTATTGAGATGTTTTGTGCTCTTCAAACTAGGGAAAGCTGGAGGAGATCAACAATTCCCATCCAGAGATCGTATTACCACCACAGGGTATCTCCTTCAAGCTGTGCTTGTCCTCCAGCGGAGTGAGAAGATGCTGGAACAAGGAGAAGTCAGAATCGCTGCTCTGGAAACGTCCCTCGTCCAATAAGACGCTTTCCGAGAAACCAGAAAAGAATAAATCCTGGAAACTAAGTCACATTCATTTCTGCCCTAGACACCACCCAGGTTGGCTGGCCACAGGGACAGCACTTTCAGTCAGTTCTGAAGAGGGGCATCTTGCCTTGAGATTGATACAAGGAAAAACAAATGAGCAGGGTTTGATCTTCTCCACTGACTCGTTTGCACTTGTTTTCCCCGAGGCCCTCTGCTCCCAGCCTCTTGTCAGACTGGCTTTCTCACCTCCCCCTTCACTTGGCCCGGGAACCACAGGGCTCACAAGCCTCTTCCCACGGGCTACCGGTTGGACGTCTGCTCCCAGAGGAGACAGGGAACAGCTCTCTCCTGGGCAGCGCCCACTGACCTCAGGGGTCCTGCTGAGAATATCCCAGTGTGCCAGACCTCTGGCGGCAGCTTCCCCCAAACCCCTATGTATCCTTGTGTCCTGGGCCCCCAGGAGATTTTCCTGATCTCCACTCTCCTGCACCCACCAGGGCTGAGGCTTCGGAGTCTCTGTTCTAAATGCCTCTCCACCTGGGCTACCCCACACAGATTTGTTTCCTGACCAAACCTTTCTACATTCACATTGCTTTAATCCCTTCTGTTTCCACTCCCCAGTCTCCGGTCCAAACTGTCCTTATGGGCCTGGACCACAGGATGGCAGTTCAATTTCTGGTCTCCCAGGCTTCCGTGGACTGTCTCATCAATATCCCAAGCTCCCCCACCAAAGTCTGAATTCCTTAAAACAACGCAAGACCTCCGCCATCTGGCATGCCCCATGGCAAGCTCGAGGTCCCACGCCCCCGAGTCATTTACCGAGTCATCCCCAAACCAGAAATGCCGTCCTCAGCTCACTGTCCCTGGCTAAGTCCTAGCCAAATGCCAAGCACCCACATCCCCAGGTATTTCCTGTCTCCGGACACCTGTCACATAACCACGTGTAGGCTTTCAGTGGGCTTCTTTTCCACACATTGGTCATGTTTACCCTCACCGATTCTAGGTTCATTAAGAACAGCTCTAAAATCGCCTCCTGTGCCATCCAAACTCAAGTGGCAACCATGGTGAAAGATCAGTACCTATTTTTGAATAGCACTCAGAATAATCTGTACATATATAGATATTAATGTATTTTTCCTAGACCTAGGGCACAAACACCAACGCTTATAATGGAAGGACATCTCTGTGAATACAAGAGCTTGAAACTTAAATGTCTGCTTATAAAATTAACAAAAATTGCAGCTAACAAAAAGGAAGACTCCTGTTGTGGCGCCGGGTACCCAAATCTCAGAGACCAAATGCTTTCTGCAGATTAACGTTGACTATGATTTTCTACACTTAGCAACTTAAGTTCACACTAGCATCCAATAGCTGGTAAAATAAATATTACAGAAGAACACATTTTGAAGCTTCCCAAGGGGAAAAAAAATCGTAATTTTCTAAAAGAGGTGGGAGGGACTGCCACAAACACGGAAAACTCTGCTGGAAACCACGTTTCGGTATGTTTTTAAACCAGAGAGAGAAAGACAAAGAACAAGAGTCCAATGTCCCTGTCCCTGTTGGCACTGACACAGTGACAACTCTTGCAGGCAGACAGGGCCCCGGGGTTAGTTATCCATGACACGTCGACAGCACCTACCGCAATCCCTGGGACAGAGGATTCGAGACTGTTCTGAATTGGTGAATAAACGCATAAGCCAGTAAGTGAGAGACTCATAGAAAAAAAGCGAGATTCCGCTGTAGCTTACAAGATAAAAATTAAGGAACTCCTAACGAAACAGCTTTCCAAGAAATTCAAAGGACAAATCGATTAGAAAAGTTTACCGTGTTGCACTTTCTACTGTGAGGCCAGCAGGATCCGAGTCCCCTTACCTGAGGCACAGGCACTTTCTGCGGGGTGTTCTGGGGTGATGGGTGGAGCTGTGCCCAAGGCTGGTGATGCGGGTGTGGGGGTGACGACTGGTGGTGCAAGCCCGGGTGGGGCTGCATCGGAGGGCAGGTTGGCAACTGCTGGAAAGACGGCTGCTGACCAGGATGCTGTTGGCCAGGCAGCAGTCGTTCCTGGATGGCTTGGGGATCTGCAAGGCCAACACCAGGACAACCATTTGGTCTCATGTGCCCGGCCAACTCCCTCGGTGCTGAGGACATGCCCATGAACGGACGAGACGGCTGCATGTTTCGGGGGCCCATGTTCCTCTGTCCGATTCCCATGGCACCAGGGGGCTGGTGAGACGGCTGAGGGTGGGGCATATTTGGATAACTGCCAACTTCCATTGGCATCCCAGCACTTCCGGGCCTGACCTGCGGAGGAGGGGTGCCTGCCGGATTACTCATCGCTTTCATGGGTGACATGGGAGGTGGAGAGGCGTAAGTTCCCTGAGGCTGTGAAGGATGCATAGTTTGTGTGTTCATTTGGTTAAGTGAGCCGCTGGGGTGGATGGGCTGCTGGTGCATTAGTCCTTGACCACTGTTCGATGGGAATCCTACAGCATTGGGGTATCTTGGTACGGACTGATTCATTGGAGTATTATTTGTAAGGCCTAAATTTTGATTCATCCCTGTATTGTTAACTAATCCCTGATTTAGGTTACTGTAAGGATATCGAGAATACTGCCCTGAGTTGTTTATAGTAGGTGAGGGGACGGTCTGGCTCCGAGAACTAAAGGTAAGGGTCTGTGGCCTCACAGCCCCTTGCTGAGGAGGATTAGGGGAGAATCTGGGACTGTGGGCAACGGATTCTCCGTGGAGACCAGTAGTGGGGTGGTGGTGGAACTGCTGCACCGAATGACGCAAGGAAGGCGCCATGCTGGGACTCTGCGGGGGCACATGGGACAAGTGGCCAGGGCCCGACGTGGCAATGAAAGGACTGGCCTGATTGAGGCCCTCCTGGCCTTGGGAAAACTGGCTCATCCTCTGCTGTGGCTGACCATGCTGCTGCATGGAAAAATCCCCACGTGCCATGTAACTGCCCATCTGCTGCATGTGCTGAGGGTGGCCCTGCGTGGGGGGCCCCGACGGAGCAGGCTGGGGTGGCTGGGGCTGGGGCTGCTGCTGGTAGGGGGCCCGTATCTGGTCCGGCACCTGCACAGCCCGGGGGCCCCACATGGAGCCGCTGTCCACGAAAGACTGCCCGTGCCTTTCGTTCTGCAGGCCAGGGTAGACGCCCATCTGAGTGCCGCCACTGCCACCATGGGGGGCCTGAGGGACGGGAGGGCCGTGATACTGCGAGTGAGGAGACGCGAGCCCGTTCCCAGGGGCGCTGCTCATCATCCTGTTTGGCTGATCCATCAGATGCATCTTCTGTTGCTCGTACTGATTATAGTGGTCGAAATGGGTCAGCTTTGTTTGATTTTGATTAGTGGAGGGATGATGAAGGGATGGCTGCAAGGAGGCAAAGCCTTGGTCTATCGGCATTTGCTGACCCATGGGGTTCACCGGATTTTCAGGGTAACCACATTCTCCAAGGCCTTCAAGGCCTTCACTGAAAATATTCCCATCCTCGCCAAAAAGACTCATCATTCCTGGATCCGCCATCTTCTTCCGACACACGGCTCCTCCAAACTACAGCTCAGGAGCTTGTCTGTGCTTCACCTCACTGAGGTGTTTGTCCTCAAAGCCTATAATCCTTAACTAATCTTCTTCATGTCATTCCGTATTTCTTTAATTCTCTTGGACCCTGCAGTGTCAGGCAAAGTCTGGATAGAGGTCCTAGAAGAGAGTGGGAGGTGGGGGGGGGGGAGGAAGGGGGAAGAAAACAAAGAATTAGGAACAAATGATAAAAACTGCCAGTATTTTACGCATTTGAATTTGGTTTCCATCAACAATACTAATCTAGCCCCCTCACTGAGCTGTGTTTTATAAATCTAGTTCACTTTCAGAGAAACTCATTAGCTTCTACCAGAAGCATTATTATGATCGGTTACTTAGAAAGCAAGCAAAACACTAACCTTAACCTTAAATTAATCCATTCACTACACTTCCTAGCGCTCCATTCTTGGACGGAACAGAACAAAAGAACACAACATGAAGCAACAGCAGCTGCCACAGCAGGCTAGCAGATGTAGGACTACAGCCGAGCAGCCCATCTGCTGAACGAACGCCCTGGAGATGCTCTGGTTCCCAGCAGCCCGCCCTCAACCTTATTCCCCTGAGCAGGGTAATCAGAGGGGCAGCCGCGGCACCGAGGGCTGTGAAAAGCTCAACTTAGTCAAACTGACTAGAGGATTATACAAATACCAAAATCAGCCATTTCATACAAATTAGATATTTACGGCCCACATACCACTATGTAACAGCAACAGAGGGGTCAAACGAGAACCTGTCCACAACGATGTTCCAACGAGGGAGCGTCCATAATGACAGTGGAAAGCAAGCTTGCAAACAGTGTAATAAATTCATGACTCCATTACGTTTAATGGCAGGAATATACAAGAGTCAGAAAGAGGTCAGAATAAAAGCTTTCATTCTCCAAGAAGGCCGATTTCACTCATGGCTCTGGGCCCACCATGTCCCCAGTCTGCGCCGCCGGCTGAGAGGTCTGATCACAGGTCATGGTTCCCCAGCAGGTGCCAGACCCTGGGGATGGACCCAGAGCCCACGTGACCACTCAGAGAGATTCTAGCTGGATGGACAGTTGCTAGACGATGACTATACTCATCAGAAGAAACCGAAAACTTTCCCCCAAACTGGCCAAAACTGAAAATTACTTTAACGGAACAAAGTTCAAAATATCCATGCAGGCTTCACCCTTGCCTTCCCCTCTTCTGGGACAAGACAGGACGAGAGCCCGTAGGGAGAAAAGCCCATCCATCAGCATCCTGTGTTTACAGCACCAGGTATGTTCTACCTACTGCTCTGCATTTTATTCAAACAGTTCCTAACAGATTTTGCACGTCTGATTAAAATAACCAGTTTAAAGAATGCTTCACCAATCAAAACAGGAAAGCCTTTTTGGCGAATGCTAATTAAATCAACAACCTAATAAAGAACTAATTCACGTAGGAAAAATGTCCGAAATCTTAAACATCTTTGGAATTTAACTCATTTTTTCCCTCTTTCGTAAGTACATGAAGCATTGTTTGATACTGCCCAACTTGAAAAAAGCAGTATCTCGTTGAAGAATTTCAAAAGTGATGTTAGAAACAGGCTCAGTCATAAATTCTACTGACACACTTCCATAGCAGCATGGGAAGGAACAATGGGCAACCAGCACTGCTGAGAACTTTCCAGTACGAGAGAGAGAAAACCCAGTTCCTGCCTGCCCTACTCTAACATATTCCTAACAAGGGGAGAATTCTGCTTACAGGAAATGTAAACAACATTCCTGTTCACTGTCAGAACTACAGACAGAACACCTGAGAAGGTCTCTGGGTCCGTAGTTTTCAGGTGACAGCTGTCAGCTGAAGTCAAAGGTCTCCTCACTCCGCCGCTAACTGCCATGAATTTTCTGATCGACTTTCTCCAAAACAGAGGTCAGAAGGGTGAAAATAAGGTGAGCGTGAAAGCCATTTTATTTACCGACATGCTGCTTTACTACACAACCACTTTCGAATCCAAAATAAAGAGAAGCAGAAACCTTCAGTGCCAAGTGCAACAAATATTCATAAACTGAATTTACTCCTCAACAGCCTAAGCAGTCGGTCTTCATTTATTCAAGACTCATTCCAGCTTTCAAGGAAATAAATACTAGAATGGACTTGATAATGGCTGAAACTAGCCGTGCAGGCTAACCACTTACCAAAATAACCTTTCAAATTACCTTAAGGGAAGTAATGTCCACTCATATGGATGGATGGCCTTGTTTTTACAGGATAATGGCTTCACCCTTCCTGGGTCCCCCACACGTCCCGGGAGGCAATGCTACTGACTGCATGGGGTTCCCAACCAGCTCTGAGGAGCAAGTAGCGCGGGGGGGGTGGATGGCCTGGTCCACTGAGCCTGGAGCAGCAGTGCTGGAGTTGACGCTGACTTTGTATCAGCTTGAGGCTGAGCGGAAAGAGGAAAAAGAACTTGCCTACAAGCACGGGAAGGGACGAAACAGAACACTCACGGAGAGCAATCCTACCTGACACACAGGCTTCCAGTTAGCCGATCTTTGCGACTGAGACTCACTCCATTTCCCAGCAGCAGGAGAAATGACGGCATTACCTGGTATCCAGTAAGCGCACCACCCACCACAACTGAGACCACCGTCAGGTGAGCTCGGGGCAGAGGAGTTCAAGAACTATGGCTTTAGCCTGTCATTAGTGACTGCTCTTGCTCGCCTGGACAGCCACCACCGCCCTCCTGCCCCTTTTCTGACCTCGAGACTTGGCTGGCGACTATGCTAGGAATCCATCTGGTAGCTGGATTTCATATTTCTGATCTGAGCTAATCTAATTAATTTATTTTGGTCTTTTTTAATTTGATCAAGTCCATTTGAATACCCACTTTCCCAAGTCACAGCTGCAACATATAATTTTGTTTCTATCAAAGATATTCATTTAAAACTCCTTTTTGGAGGTTGGCCCCTTCTCTACATTCAGTATCTACATTTTCTATGTCTAGATAGATCCCCTGTTCAATGAGCCATCAAATCAGAGCCATAGATGCCATTTTAAATATTACAGTAGCCACGTTTTAAAAGTAACCAAAAAAGAGTAATTAATTTTAATAATAAATTTTATTTAATCCAATATGTTCAAAATATTATCACTTCAACATGTAATCAACATTAAAAAATGGATGAGACTATTTACACTTTTTGGTACTGCATCTTTGAACCCCCAGTATGTATTTTACACTCGCAGCATATCTCAATTTCTACTGGCCACATTTCAAGGAAAAAATGTGCACGTGGCAGTAGTGGCTACCACTCTGGACAGCATAGTTACAGATTATTAAAAAGAAGACTAGAAATACAAGTTGTCAGTGTTCTCAAATAATTCTCATAATTATCACTTGGGTAATAAATATTCAAGTTGTCTTTATATCTGATTTGACTTTAAATAAAAATCAAGCTAAATCTCAAATCACACTTACTTATTCAAAATACATGGACTGAGTACCTATAATGATCCAAGCACTGGTCTAGGTACTAGAGATATATCAGCAAACAGAAACAAACAAAATTCCCTTTATCCTCATGGAGATCATCTGTAAATGATGAACCTTAAAGAAGTAAGATTCGGAGGTTACGGTAATGAAAATTTAGGATACCATTTTACAAAATATTTCTTGGGAATTTATGATGACAAGTGTTTTAACTATGTATGATATTATATAGTAAACAGTATGGAAACATACAGTGAAGACATAATAATGTAAATTTCAGCTGAGTGCCCTACTGGGTATTTTCTGAGACACAGAATGACAGTGCAGAGGTGCATGTACATCTGGAGGTGAGGAGAGGCCCAATGAGACAGGTCAACTAACAGAATCATCTACACTGCAGTAGAGACCTCACTATGAAACCAATTATGAAAATCTGAGAATTAGTAAGGACTTTGGAGACCTTCTAAGCCAAACCCCTCTTCCTTTAACAGATTAAAAAACCCTTTTAGAGACTGAGAGAAGTAAACATCTTCTAAAAAATACTTTCATGACGAACAATTCCCAAAGACGAAAGAGAAATGTATGGAAGAAATGGCAGCTTCCTAGTAAGAGCGAGTTATTAAAGGCCTTAACTGGGGTCTGTTTTGTTCAGGATAAGTCACTAAACTGCTGAGACAAACAAATAGAAGAGAGTTTCCTTTCAAACAAATGTTTTGCATTATACTATCTGTAACTTTTAGGAAGCAAGCACCTATCAGCACCATATTGAGGCTCCTGGTTGATTTTGGGGGAAATGAGCAGGATGAAAACTGGGAGATCCAAAAAACAAGTAAACCGCACACAGAGAATCAGGGATGAAAGCAATGGGCATACAACAAACCAAGATGAAAGAAATAAGTTGTGCAAAAATATACATTAATATCTTGAAGTGAATTTCTGACTTCCTCAAACTTACATAAACAATGCTTAACTCCATTGCTCTTCCCAAAGTAATACGGCAGTTCTGCAGCCAAGTTTCGATGTGGTATCACAGTGACCTGGGAAACCAGCAAGGATACAAAACACTTTCATGTGCAAAATATTTTCCATAGTCCAGCCACTTTTTATCCAATTGTGTAAGTAGAATGCCATCCAGAGGAAACTTTTTCGTAAATATCCAACACATGTGGGCAAATGTGGAATCAAAGGATAACTGCCTTTTAGATGATGAAAACTGTTTGTGTTCTACAGCTTGATTTGAAATTGTTCTCTGTAAGTTTCTCTCCTCCACCTGAGGAGAGCCTGAGGCACGTAACATGACTGTGACAGTGATTCTTGGGATTGGGTAAAGCATGTATCAGCATTTCCACGGCAGTGTCTAGCAGCTGGAAAAACACATGTCACCGCCTCCCCCCCGCCCCCGCAGTACAACCTGGGAAGGCACCTCTCCATCATCAAGGTTACAAATCATATCAAAAGGGAGGAGGATCCATGAGCCAATGGGTGAACACACAAAAGGTAAAGGACTCGGCACCGCTGAATATTCGTATTCACAGATCTGCTAGATCATGAGGCCTGTGGCCAATGATGCCCACTAATGGCCCCCAAGAGCCACTTGGAAAAGAGAAAAAGTCTACTCAGGCCAGTGCTCGCTGTGGGAGAAGGTACTATCCAATAGACAACGACCCAGATAAAGAACT